GACAGCAGCTTGTATATAAATGCTGCGGTCGCAATATTTTCCGTCATTTGCCATCTCGTGTCGATTTCTTCTGATAGGCAAATGTTTTCCTGCAGAGTTTGCAAACAGCCTTTTTAGGGTCGTCCTTCGACTTTTCAAAATGATCCCACACTTTGGACTATTTTCCTGACATAATTATTAGCGTCAGTCAGACACCTCTCCCACAAGTGCGCTTTGGTATACCGTGAGGCGCGAGATCGCGTTAAACTGTTGTTGCTGATGTCATACACTGACTGCGCAACCCTTGATTGCGTAATTTCACGTGATTTTTTATTTTTTTTGCAACTAACCGACTAATGAAAATGTATTCGACCAAGCCCTCTTCATATCGACTAAAGTTTAGTCGACTATTTGGGGGCAGCCCTAATATATATATATATATATATATATATATACTGTGCAGGCCCGTAGCCAGCCTGGTGAAAGGGATGGTTCTTTTTTTCTCAAAAAGTGGACCTCTTTGCAGTTATACGCCTCAGTTTCTATTTAACCATGAGATTTAAATACTGCATTATTTTTTAGCTGGAATAGCTAGTCAAATGTCATCATAACCACACTTTTTGATGTACTAAAAATATTTCCTAAAAATTGCAGTTAAAAAACTCAAACAAGACTAATTTTTAAAATACAAATTCATTACATCATATGTCATTAGGAAAAAATAGCAATCTGTTAAAGTATTTTTCACAATCATTAATTAGACAAAAAACAAACTGGCCAGCACATTCAACTGTCCTCAGTCACAGTTTGGCCAGTTCAATAAAAAATAATAATTAAAACATAATAATAATAATATTGACAATAATAATTAATTCTTCAGATTTTTTCTAGCCTCTTTGGTAAAAACAATAAAGCCTTTTTTTCGATGGAAACTCATATTTTCATTATATATGATGGCATAGCAGTCAAAATAGGATGAAAATAGGACCAATGAGCTCATTTGGGACAAATTCTGGACCTTTGTCAGTGAGGGGTGGGTTTTCCGAACCACCCGAACACCCCTGGCTACAGGTCTGAAAAGTCAGAACATGTTTTATGCTGATAGTAAACATGTTTTAATAGAATTTTGGCTGTAAAAGCGCACCTACAGCTGTTTCAGGCGCAGGTCAGATTTTCTCCAGGTCATAATTTATTTAGTTTATAATAATTTTGTTCAAAAACTAATAATAACTATCCAGCTTCATCTGGAATGCATCCCCCTCTGAAGTGGTCTGAGCGATCAGGTTTATATCCGATCACAATAAGTGAGCAAGCAGCCTCAATAACACAGACGTGACGGGATTAGCGCCTTTTGCTGTGAAGTGACATCTGACGGCTGAGGACTCCGCTTGCCATTAAAGCCCTCATCGGGCAGTTATTTAAAAAATGTCAGAAATAGGGAAAGGGAGGTCATGTACTGGACAAATCAATAAATATACAGGACGTCCCAGCTAATGCGGCCAGTTAGCCTAGAACCTCAGGGGCAAAGTTTCATCTGTTAGGAAGTAAGTCACTTACCTGTTTGGCAGTCTTTATGAACATATGTTCAATATTTTGCGATAATGACGCCGCTGCCTGCCTTTTCTGCCTCCTTGCTCTTTTCGACCAACAGCGTAACTATGTCGCATCAAAGATTCAAATGTGACTCAGTGGGTTATGTCACGTGACTCGCGTCACATTATTGTGGCTTTGAGGCTCTATGGGATTCAAATTACTGGCCAGAGATATTTAAAAATACACTTTATTACAATATATATTGAATATAAATATATTATATTATTTATATAATAAATATATTCTATAATATTAAATTACATAAAATAACTAAAATAAGGGTGTCACGATCCTCAAAATCCTCGATTCGATTGCATTTTCGATTCTAAAGGCACAATTCGATTAGATTTTCGATTATGAATAATTAATTATTTAATGACCAATTAGTTATTTGTAGCCTACCGTTTAAACTACCTGACCTGCATGGTCTTTGTTTTACCCATAAACAAATCATACAGTAAATGAATAAAGGCAAGATACACACATAATTACCACCTGTCAATCACTTTTTTTCTGCGGGACTCGTGAATAGGCAGTGATCTGTGTCGTTATAATGGCGTCGGTAAAAAAAGACGCACAACCAACAGGAACCAGCCAACAGTATCTGAGGTGTTCGCTAAAATGACAAAGTACAAGTGAGTGAAAGATTGAAGCAGTCCTCTGACTGCCTGGACCTGCTGTCTCGAGCGCATGGCTGTGTGTGGGTCTGTGTGGTCACGTGATGTGCATTTTCAAAGGGTAGAGAGGAAGGAGGGCTGCTCAGAAATGCTACACGCCACTGTGGATGTCAAATCGCTGTCGTTCTAAAATGCCATTTAAAGGGTCACGAAACACCAAAACACATTTTTTGAGCTGTTGACAGTCGTATATGTGTCCCACACTGCTGAAAACACTATTAGAACACCTATATTTGACTAAAAAGTGTAAATTGGTTGTTTTTGCGTTATTTCAAGCAAATTCGTACTTCCTGTTTGAAACGAATTTTTGAAGCTGCGTCACGGTCATGACATAATAGCGTGTATTCCAGCGTGCAGACTGAACGTCTGTGCCAGAGTGAGTCTTATTACCTCTTACAGTGTGATGCATTAATGCATGAGTAAGGCTTGGTTCAAACCAATCAGCGCGCTCTATTGTGCAACTTCATTAATATTCATTACTGTCACAGTGTTTAGACGACAGAGACGCCACGTTGTGTTGGCAAAACAAGCGTGAAGTGTTGCTTTTATAGTTTGCTGCAGTTAAGTTTCGTTTTCATTTTCTCTCTGTGAGAGCGCAGCTGGAGTCACGTGTGGATTAACAGTGTACGCGACGCTCGACAACAATAACTTACGTGTCTAAGGAGGATTATTGTTTACCTGAGAGCTGTTCTCATCTGCAAACGCTGAGATCCGGATTCGCTTGTAGTCTTCTCTTCATAAAGATGCGGCTCTAGTTGCTGGTGATTGTCCTGTCTCTACAGATTTGGTAAGTGAGCGAGCAGTGCTCTTTGTTTATTCAGTTTGTTCGTATCGCACCACAACCAAACTTTAACCTCGTGTAGGGTTTTTACCACATTTAGTGACCGGAATAACACACGCGGCTTTCTGACGCTACCTGCCGTGTGCATCTAAGTTTCCGGGAAATGCAGAGGGTTTTTTTCTCTCATTCGCCGTGCGGTATCAAACATTGCATGAAAAATACACGCTTAGAGCAGTTCCTCGAATCAAATATCTCGTTTGTCGCGAGGGGCATGAATGAATTCCCTGAATGAAAGAGCCAAACTGCAGTTAAAGTCCACCATTTAATAATTTGGCAAATAATTCGACTACAGATGTCCATGTAGGTTAAACACCATCACTTTCTCCTGTGTGTTTGTGTGTGTATTTTGACTCTGAAACTTGCGCGTGCCCAAATAGACACTCCCACACCATCCCACGTTTTTTCCTCCGACACTCCCCCTACTAAACAGAGCTGGACACGCCCACTTTTCTGACTTTTTCCAAAGTAGAGGTGTGAAAACACCCTGCTGAAACGAGGGGGTTTCATGGCCCTTTAAAAACAAAGACAGTGTAAACAGGGGTTGAGTGTGAACTTTTCGCGAGCGGATTTGCAACGGGGGTGGGCGGAGGATCGCGATGCCGGTGTTGTCTATCGGACGAACCGTACGTAATACGTACATGGCAGAGCTTGCAAAACTGTGTTTTTTTGTCGACAACACGAACGTTGTCAACATAACTCACTGGAAATCCAAAATGCTTCCACACCGGCGACTTCATTGAAAGAGGAGAGGATTTAAGCTCTGTCGACGGGTCTCCTGCTTCTGCAGTTTAACAAGCACTTCAACAAGCCTGTTTTTTTCCAGCTTGGCAAGCCAAGCTGACGTGACATGGGGGCGTGGCAGCATCGACGATTCTATTTTTTGATTCGATAATCAAAATTGAGCATAAATTTCGATCGATTTCGATTAAAAATTGAAATCGTGACACCCCTAAACTAAAAGGACAAATTCTGAACCTTTTGGCTGTGGGGGGGTGGTTCGTTCGAACCACCCGAACCCCCTCTGGCTAGGGGCATGTTGTTGTAAAATTGCTTAACTTTTTGAGTTGACTGATGTAATGTTTACATTGGTTAAAATGGTTATTTTCTTACCACTGTAAGAACTTACTATTTTTGGCGCGGCTGTTCAGCCTGACACCGACACAAGGAGTCATGGTGTTAAATTGTTTATTTTAATGACAGCAGTAAACAACTAAACAATTACTTGAACTTTACAAACAAAAAATTACATTTATTTTTATATCTTTTTTTTTTATCTACGAAGTATGTAGCCTTAGTCTCTGCAGTCTATCCTAATGGGCTTATTTACTTACTTAAACTATACTTGTATACTTGACCTTTACTTTAGTATACTTCTTTTTCCCAAGGGTGTATTTACTGACTTACCAAGATCAGTCCTGTACAGCTAGGGGGAGTATTGCTGCTCTGACAGCCAAGTCGGGTCAAAGCTAGGGATGCTCCGATCAGGATTTTTGCAGTCAATACAGAGTACTGATTCCTTGTCATTGTGATTGGCTGATACCAAGAACCGGTTCTCATGCATTGAGAACATTTTCCCTCTAAGTATTAACCTTAAGAGAAGATCTTGCCTTACCTAAGAGAATAAATCAACGTGCGAACTCTCATTCCTATATAATTAACTTCTAGGGAGCGGGGAAAGCCAGTAGGAGGGCGGGCATTTAAACACTGATGTAATAAAGCATACTGAAACATTGGCAGACACTCTTGTCTGTGTGTGGAAGCATCTAAAGTTAATGATGAAACGGAGTAATCTGTGTCTTTAAATTGATGATTGGAAGATCAGTGTATCTTGCTTATGTAGTGGAATTTATTTCCTGTAGTGCTGGTCAACTTTCACTTTTTAAAGTGCAGTATTCTTATTTTTATTTCAGTCTCGATGGAGGAGACACACCGTCATGAGAAAACGAGAGAGAAAAATAAATCCCTGAAGAGAAAAAAGAAGAACAAATTCACCTGCACTCAGTGTGGAAAGAGTCTGGCAAGCAAACAGAGTCTCGGATATCACATGAGGGTCCACACCGGAGAGAAACCGTTCACATGCTCTCAATGTGGGAAGAGTTTCAGAGAATCAGCTAAGCTTATTAAACACATGAGGATCCACACCGGAGAGAAACCGTTTACATGCTCTCAGTGTGGGATGAGTTTCACAGACTCCTCAAACTTGGGTAGACACATGTTGACCCACACTAGAAAGAAAAAACACAGATGTGATCAGTGTGGGAAAACATTTTTGATTGAATCATACCTGAAGAGACACCTTCGAACTCATACAAAGGAGAAGCCTTATCCATGCTCTGTGTGTGGAAATAGTTTCACACGTCAAGATAGTTTAATAAATCATCAGAAGATCCACACCCTTGTGGGAGAGTACATGTGCTTTGAGTGTGAGAAGACCTTTCGTACGGCTGTACATTTGAGAACACATGCGAGGATTCACACCGGAGAGAAACCGTACAAGTGTTCACACTGCGACAAGAGATTCAGTCAGTCATCACATCTAAAAAAACATGAAATGATTCACACTGGAGAGAAACCGTACACGTGTTCACACTGTGATAAGAGATTCAGGCGTTCAGGACATCTGAAAACACATGAGAAGATTCATACTAGAGAGAAACCGTACAAGTGTTCACACTGCGACATGAGATTCAGGCAGTTACCACATCTGAAAAAGCATGAGAGGATTCACACTGGAGAGTAAGCTTGGGAATGAGAAGTCACCACTTGGACCTCGTTTACAGCAATACATTTTAGTTTTAAAACTGAGTTTTAAGATGAAAACAATCTGCGTCCACACTGGCGTTTCACCATGAGTTTCTGAACAGCTCTCTGTCCACACTATACCGCTGAAAACGCACATCAGGTGACCACACACACACACACACTCTGGCAAAAAAAACCTCAACGATTCCCTCCGGGCAAATTTACTGGCCTTTTGTTATGTTGGGGATGAAAACATCTACTGAATTGAACTGCTGTAAAAATGAATTAGATTATTGTATCTTTTTAAAGTTTTGCATTAATCTGTTAATCAACCTCAGTCCTGATCAAACCTACTAAATTGCTTAGAAAATGACAAGATTTTTACTCCTTAATTGTCAAATTCATAAATGATGGCTCTGATTTGGTGGGAAAAACACACAAAATGATGTATTTTTCAGTATAAAAGTCTTTGTGCACTGGATTTTTTTTTTTACATTAAAGTCTTGCACATGTGAAACAGCATTGCCTTTAGTGTATTGTTTTTGATGATTTTTCTTTTTTTTCTTCCTAATTTACTGTTGGTTGCCCTACTGACTTCCATTATAACCACACACAATATAACAGTACATGAAATGGGGGGAGGGGGGTTTGTAAATAGGGTTTACAAGATCAGTGGCGCCCCCAGATAATTTTCTTAAGGGTGGCCAAGTAAGGCCACACTAAATCTTGGGATGGCACACAAAAAAATGAATTGTGAATACAGTTGAAACCAAAAGTTTACATACACTGTATTAAAAGGCAAATAACCATTTTAAAAAGTCAGATCCTAATGTTACTAAACTATTTTCTCTTTTAGGTAAGTTAGGATTATCACATTTGTTTCTGTTCTGCTCAATAGCAGAATAATGAGAGAGAGATTTCTTAGAGAAGTTGTTATAACTTTTCTTGAAAGTCAAGTTTACATAAAATAAGATTATTCTGCCCCTGAAAAAGCTCAGATGATGATGTCAAGGTTTTGGAAGTTTCTGGTAGACTGAGTGACAACAAGGAAAAATCAAGCCAGAATCAACAACAAAGTCAGATTACGATTGGCTAAATTACACTGGGAAAAGATGTTTGGAGACATATCCTGTGCTCTGAGCTAAGATTGAACTGTTCGGCCATAATGACCAGAGTTACATTTGAGGACCAAGTATGCAGCTTACAAACCTAGGAACACCATCCCAACTGTGAAGTATGGGGGCGGCAGCATCATGTTGTGGGGCTGTTTTGCTGCAGGAGGGACTGGTCCACTTCACAGCATAGATAGCATCATGAAGAAAGAACAGTATGTAGAAATACTGAAGCAACATCTCAAGACATCAGCCAGGAAATTACAACTTGGCCACAAATGGGTCTTCCAAACAGACCATGACCCGAAGCATACTGGCAAATTAGTTAAAATGTGCTTTAAGGACAACAGAGTGAATGTTTTGGAGTGGCCATCACAAAGCCCTGATCTCAATCCTATAGAACATTTGGGGGAGAGTTAAAAAAGCTTGTGTGAGCAAGACAGCAAACAAATCTGACTCAGTTACATCAATTCTGTCAGGAGGAATGGGCCAAAATTCCTTCAAACTATTGTGAGAAGCTTGTGGAGGGATTCCCAAAACATTTGACCAAACTTATACAGTTTGAAAGCAAAGCTAAAAAAATACCAAGGAAATGTGTGTAAACTTTCGACTGTCTAGAAATTAATTTTAAAAAAATTCTCTCATTATTCTGGCGTTTAGCAGATGTAAATCATTTAGGTAATCCTAACAGACCTAAAATAGTAAATGTTTAGTATGATTTACCATCAGACATGTTTTTTTAAACGGTTATGTTCCTGTTTTTAGAGTGTATGTAAACTTCTGGTTTCGACTGTATATTGTGAATAATGATAAGTAATGTTATATTTTTGTTTCTGGTAAATGAAATAATGAAATTTTAATTAATTTCACAAATTACTCTTGAAATATTGCAATTTATTCCTTGAAATGATCCAGCAAGTACACGTGCAAACCAAATAAAAATCTATATTTAGTTTAAAAACACCTTTTAGGTCAGTTATTTTTCACATGCTTGTATTGTACAACACACAGTATATGACATGTCTAAAATTAATGAAGAATTAATAAACAAATGAAAACAAAAGACATTACTACACACACACACTTGCTATACAGACCCTAATAATATGATTGATCCATGCTCCTTTTTGAGCCACAATATATTAATACATATTCTATTATTGAGGTACCTTTTTGCAAAATGCACCCACAACATCATTGAAATGTTTGGCCCTTTTACATCATCCAGCAAAATAATGGGGTTGCTAAATAAACAAGATCCTGAAAAGCTGATTTCAAAATGCATCTATTTATTTTGGATTTGTAGCTTTTTCATTTCAAAAAGGATAATTTCCTAATAAAAAGTGAATCTCAGCGAATCAGCTGTCAGTGGCGCTGATCAATCCACAATAATCTAGTGCTGCATTTTATTTATTAATTATTCATTCATTCATGTTCTTTTTGGCTTAGTCCCTTTATTAATCTGGGGTCGCCACAGCAGAATGAACCACCAACTTATCCAGCTTATGTTTTATGCAGCAGATGCCCTTCCAGCTGCAACCCATCTCTGGGAAACATCCATACAGACTCACACACTACGGACAATTTAGCCTACTCGATTCACCTGTATCACATGTGTTTGTACTGTGGGGGAAACCGAGCCCATGCGAATGCAGGGAGAACATGCAAACCACACAGAAACGCAAAATGAACCAGCCGAGATTTGAACCATCAACCTTCTTTCTGTGAGGTGACAGTACAACATACTGCACCACCGCGTTCCTATTTATTAGTTTATTTATTGAAATATTGTGAATTTACGCAAGTACATTTAAATTAATATCAACAACTAAACCATATTGGGGTGCCCCTGGGGGCGAGATGTATGCGTGTGGACGTGTCTTGAGGAAATGTTTGACAGTAATTGTGTTTGGTTTTGTTTGAATGTTGTGTTTTGGTTTAATGGGTGTTGGAGGAAACGCTTTTCTCGATTTAGACTCCATGATGCTGCAAATGCTAGCAGAGGAGCTTCGTCTTCAATTTTTTGGCTGTTGACAAACAACAAGTGGTGTATTTATTTCCGCCATTAACTGGTATGGAGTGTGGATCATTATGACTTAACCCACTCTCCAATAAAAAGGTAAAACATTTATTTCCTGAGTTGTTTTGTAGAAAGTCATCTAGTTTGAATTAAATTCTTACTTCTAAATTCTTACTAAGTGCTCTCCTTTCATCTTCATACTTCACGCAGTGTAATATAACATGTTCTACCGTCTCTACTTGTCCACAAAACTCGCATTGTCCTGTATCATGTTCACCCCCACAAACATGGAAAAGGGTTTCTGATCTGAGTCACCAGCAGAGGGCAGTAATGTTCTGAAACGCGCGGTTTGCTGGAAATGAAGAAAGGATGCACAAGAGCTGAGCAGCATAGATCTATACATTAGATGTCGCCTGGCCTGTTGTTGTCTATATGACGGAATGCGTCAATAGCGCCGCCATCTTGCTACAGGGTAGCGCTCCTTTGAAATGAATGCGAGACCAAGGTACAGTGGAGGACTGTGGCAATCCAAAGCCAGAGATATACACATATACACATATATCTATGATCGGGAGTTGTCCTGGATGTTAGTATGTAATTTATTTTCTAATTAGGAAAATTATAATTTTACATCACTTTTCTACATTGATGGATCAGTGACCACACGGGCATTCCTGACAAAAAGCTTGTGTTTGTGTGTACAGAAGTGTACTATTCACCCTCCCTGTTAAATTTAATCTAATCATGTCCTGAAACACACCTCCTCTCCTGCTTTCACTTCTCATACTGACAGAGGGAGCGATTCGTTTGTGAATGAATCTCCCGAACGACTCTTTCACTAACGTTAGCCGACAATAATACAAGTTTCTGGCACCGCAGCATCTCGTTGTCATATTTCTTTTGCATTGTTTGGTGATTTTATTCAACAAAACTAGCATAAGCCGAGTGTTTAGTGCGAGTTGGAGCTACTTTGCCGTATGGTGAATGCAGTAAGTGACTGTATTATCATCAATAACGTTACCTCCCTGCTGAAAAATCCAGCTTAAACCAGCCTAGGCTGGTTGGCTGGTTTTAGCTGGTCGACGAGGCTGGTTTTAGAGGGGTTTTGGCCATTTCCAGGCTGGTTTCCAGCCATTTCCAGCCTGGTCTTAGCTGGTCAGGCTGGGAGATGACCAGCTAAAACCAGCTTGACCAGCCTAGCCAGGCTGGGAGCCCAGCCAAAACCAGCTATGTCCAGCTTAAACCAGGCTGGTCAAGCTGGTTTTAGCTGGATTTAGCTGGTCATTTTCCAGCCTGACCAGCTAAGACCAGGCTGGAAATGGCTGGAAACCAGCCTGGAAATGGCCAAAACCCCTCTAAAACCAGCCTGGTTGACCAGCTAAAACCAGCCAACCAGCCTAGGCTGGTTTAAGCTGGATTTTTCAGCAGGGCTGATTAGCACAAAAGTTCAGAACATACAAAAACAGAAAAAAAAAAACTTTATCTTACCTATGAAATGTTCTGCCTTTGTGCTTTGTTTTCTTTGTTTCTCCGTAGACAGTGCCAAAGTCCCGCATCTTCACGTAATAACACTGTCTTGACTAGTGCGGTTGAATGACATTTGTCCTGGGAGCACTGTACCAATGTGGCGGCGCTATTGACGCATGCTCAGGGTCCCTATGCGATATCTAGTGTATATATCTATGGCTGAGCAGAAGCACTCGTGTTGAAAACATGAAGAGGCTTCGCTTCTGTTAGATTTCAGCTCCGCAGAGTTTATTTAATGAGCACAGCAACTCACTGACTTGTGCTATTCTGCTGTGAAGCGATCGGAAAACACTGGACTTTTCAGCTGCAACTTCATACATAATCAGGTATGTTTCTTTCTTTGTTTATTTGTTTATATTCGTCTCAGTGTTCAAGAGTGTTAATATTGGGCTGTTCGCGTTGGTTCCCAGAACGTTGTTTTAAGGTTTGTTTTTGTTAGCCGGAAAAGTTTTCTGCTCGGAATTAAGTGTTTATTGTTTTGGTTTGAACATTTACATTTCGTCATCATTCAACTTTACGTGGTAAAACCACATGTTACTATTTCTGTTATTGAGATAAAGTTGATTTTACATTCACACATTCGTTCATTTTAACAGTCCCCATATTGTTTACAATGCTACTTTGCTGTGTTCGGTCTTAAATCACGCGTAAATTGGCACTGTTTAATTGACACACACACACACTCATACACATGGGGAGAACATGCAAACTCCACACAGAAATGCCAACTGACCCAGCCGAGGCTCGAACCAGCAACCTTCTTGCTGTAAGGTGAAAGTGCTACATCCTGCACCACCGCTTCGCCCCAAATGGCAATTCATTAAATTATAAATAATTTCTTAATGGACTCAATGTTCCCA